AAGCATCATCAGATTGTTGCGCCTCTTCCGTATTGGTTTACAGAGAAGCATAATACCCAGAAGCTTCCATACATGCCATTATATAACTTTGCATACCTGAATCTATAAAGCCTGCTCGCCACAGAACTTAATCTTTTATTCCGTCATTCAGTAAAGCAATCTTGGGACAGGCTACAAAAAAATAAAGGCCATATCGACTGGTACACCCAAATGGAGGTATTCAAAGATAGTTTTATTCGGGTACAAACCTCGAATTTGCCTAAACAAATATATACCTTTATTTATTTATTTTTTAATTTAATATAGCAAATACCGCTTCAGATTTAATTCTCCTAATACCTGGCCAAATGGTCGATTTTGATCTGGTTTAGGTTCTGGTCGGCTAAGATACAAAGGATATAGGCGATTAAGAATAGAAGCAGTCTGGACGGATAGCTAATATTGAATCGCTTCCAAAAATACAGTCAATAAAACTCGTTAGCTTAAATTTGGTTGTGAGGATGATACCTTGCTCTGATGATGTTCGTCATATGATGGACGAAAGCTTAGCACCTTTTGCCCGGAATCGAAAGAGATTACATCGGAAACAGCGTCAGCATAAATCTACCAGTAGAGCCAATTGATAGCTGGTCAAGAGGGATCTGCCGTCGTCTTCTGGTGGAATCGGCCTTTGAATCTTTTCACCCAACACTTCCATTCGAAATGGAAGTAAGCTCAACAATTATGATACAAGAGATTCCTCGAAACCCAACTTTGCTTCGTATATATTCCAAAAATGAGTTATTCTATTCTGTATAAGCAGTTATTTCGGATATCTCCGCAGATATATCATTACGAAACAAGTAATGCAGAAGTAACACAATCGTTTTGTGTCGTCAAAAATTATGACATGTATAATATGGCACACAGTAAATATAACACAAAGTAGACAAATAGTTAAAAAATACTTATCACTTTACTCACAGCGGGTGCGCTAGCTGATGTGCTTGTGGGAAAAACTAGAATATGAGTGACGCTCGGATTATCAGGAGCACCATTTGGTCCCCCTGGCACTGGAGGTCCTGCAGCTGAGGGATCTAGAAGTCGACTGTCAGATCTTCCTAGGCCCCCACAGGCGCCTGTTCCGTCTGGTCCACTACCACTACTCCCCCCGACATTGCCTCCTCCAGCTCCAGAACCACCGGGACCACCTGCGCCTCCACTAACGACGGAATTGCCAGCAGGTCCATTACCTGCAGACCCAGACCCAACACCACTAGCCACACCGCCGCCACCATTAACACCGCTTCCGACATTGCTTCCTACACTGATACCAGCTGATACACTGGAAGACGCTGAAGAGCCAACACCACTACCTCCTGAACCATCAACCGAACCACCTCCACAACGGCTTAGGCCAGAAGAACCAGAGCCTGTAAAAGAAACGTCTTCAGCTGGGAAGATGCGGAAGGTATTCTGCGCTTCGAGCGAGACTAGGCAAGCGCTGATCAAACTGGGCAGTTGGTCATGAAGACAAAAGTTAAGCTGACCCCCCACATTTCCTCCGCCCACTGCACCAGTACTATTAGCGTTGAAATGTTGCGATGAATTGAAGTGACTGCCGATGGACTGAGAAGTTGGGATTGAGGAATGGCGAAAAGGAGAGTTCGAGCAGACCGGACAGTTCTCCTGGAAAAATTGATTAACATCTTGCAGGTTTTTCCTGCTTAATAACCCAGTCCAACCTACATCAGAATCATGGGAAATAGGGAAATCCAGAGTAATTATAATAAAATCTATTTTTAATAAGCTTTATGCATATGCAGAAATTCGGAAAGGAGATACCAAAATTACATTAATGTATGATGAAAAGTAAGTATGCATAAGTGAATCAAAGCTAAGTTCTTGACTTAAATAAAAAAGCACTAAAAGATTATCACAGAGATAAAAGATATCCCTTCGGGCCTAAATTTTAGGGAGGAACAAAAATAAAACATTTAATTAAGACGATTGGATTGTCTTAATCAATAGTATCCCATCAGTAAAGGGCAATTGCACAAAAATCTAGGTAGAAATTAATGGAGCATAAGATTAATATATAAGGACCAAGATGTTGTGGCCTCTAGTATGGTCGCAGTCTCCTTTCGATTTATAGAAATGGGTTGACCTCGTTTTAGCAACTTGGTCTTGTTGTCAGGGCGACTTAGTAGAACGCACCTAGTCCGAATTCGTCTGCCATACTAGTTGTCATGATTCCCAGCATCAGACCATGGACTTAGCACATTCGCAAACGTTTCATCGGCATCATAGTCGGCATCTTCAATGAGTTTTGCCATTCTCCGCACCAAAGTACGAACTCGTCAAAAAGACAAGTGAAGCCAATCCCTCGACAAACGTTCGCCGAAAACCGTTACACTATCACTTCTCTTTCTGTCCTGGCCTATCTATCTACACTTTACTCTCTAATCCCACTGCTGCCCTATCACAACTTCTCACTTGTTTACATTCCACTCGTCAAAATGTGTGCCCTTTTGTGGCAAATCTAGTCTGGCCTCATCACACTTAGTATTGACCCCAACCCCTCTCTTTCTATTGGCTTATCCGACTCGGGCCTCCAATCCGGATCCCTTCATTGTCTTGTGGATCCGTTCCTTATCTTTCTGGTTGACCTATTCCACTCGGTTCCAGTTGCTGTGTGCATTTCACTCCAAGTGCTATTTATCAAGGCCATAGAAGTACATACACTGCCGCCTCACTGAGCAGAGTGCCTAAGCTCTGATTGCCATGCTTGCAGATATCCGGCATCAGACAGTGGACTTGGTACATTCTCGAACGTTTCGCCGGCATCATCAGTGACTTTTGCAATTCGCCGCACAAAGCTACGAACTCGTCAAAAAGACAAGTGAAGCCAATCCCTCAACAAACGTTCTGCCGAAAACAGTTACACTATCACTCCTCTTTCTGTGCTGGCTTATCTATCTACACTCTAATCCCACTGCCGCCCTATCACAACTTCTCACTTGTTTACATTCCACTCGTCAAAATGTGTGCCCTTTTGTGGGAATTCTAGTGTGGCCTCATCAACTTGCTATATACCCTGGCCCCTCTCTTTCTATCGGCTTATTAGACTCAGGCCTCCAATCTGGATCCCTTTATTGTCTCGTGGATCAGTTCCTTATCTTTCTGGTTGACCAATTTTACTCGGTTCCAGTCCCTGTGTCAATTTCACTCCAGGCGCTATTTCTCAAGGCCATAGAAGCACGTACACTACCGCCTCATTGAACAGAGCGCCTAAGCTCTGATTGCCATTCTTGCAGATATCAGGCCTTCCCTTAACTGGTCCTCTAACTTGATTAAACCCATGTTATCTTAGCGAAATGTGGACGCCTATCTCCGGTCGCATGCGGCCTCTAAAGTGGATTTCTAGTGCATTTTTGGCATAACGTCGAATTTCCATGACGGTATGATTATCCGTCTGCCCAGATCCCTGACTGCCAGGCCCACAAAGTTGTACTGGTTTATTCGAAATGGGCATCACTAACTGACAACTTCTTCGCTTTATTTCCGAAATCCCCTTCCCCCCAGTTTATGCCTGGCGATCCCTTTTCCTCCGGTTAGCGCTAGATCCTTGATCCAGGCGTCTCCTTTTTGCTGGTCTTACTCCATTATTGTTTTCCCCGAGTTTGTTTAGGCAGTAGGAAAAGTTATCGCTAACTCTACCTTCCTCTATTCCTCTGTTCCTTAAATTTTTATCCCCAAGGATGTCAATAGCCTCCATAATCTTGCGATTCCCTTGTGTTGTTACTGTATGGGGCTCTTCTTTCTGTTGCCTTCCAATTGATCTCGTGTCCAGTCTGTGCGATGTGTTCCGCT